TGTTGAGAATAACAAGGCATTTGATGATTTGTTTAAGGACGTCAGGGAACGACTAGATAAAGCTTCGCAGAAAAACGAAAGGGTTTATAATCTTCGGCGACGTAGGGAGGAATTGCTTCCTCATCAATTGGTTTGGCGTAAGAATTTTGTTTCTTCTGATGCTGCGCGGTACTATACTAAGAAGCTAGCACCTCGATGGGTTGGTCCCTATTTAGTTAAGAAAAAGGTATCTCCGTGGACATATGTTTTGATGGACGAAAAAGGTAATGGCAAAGGGACTTGGAATATTAAAGATTTGAAGACAGATAGCGCTGGTGAGAATTCACCTGAGTGAATTCTCTTGAAGTAAGGGGGAATCTGTAAACGTTCATTTTTGGCCCCACGAATTAATAAAATTGTTTTGGCTTACCTGGTTAATCATACGAAAAAAAAGGGTAAAATCGTATTGATATATCACTATTATTCTTGTCATTAACTAATTTCACCTGTATTCTAACTTTCGGACATCATTATTACAATTTATTTCATCACACCACTAAGTAAAAGGATAGTAGTTCTCCCTAAAAATAGACCAAGTTTCGTTGTAAATTTATACATATTATGTATTATAGTCTCACCTTTGGGTAATTAATTATTTACGATACCATTCTTTAAGATTTTCTTTATTTTTGTTTATAGCTGTCAGAATTGGATTAATGTTTATTAATTATGACAGTGAATGACATAAACGTCATTTGACGACAGAACACCGACAAGTGTCATGTTGGTGGGACGTTCCAATATCGGGCTCAGAACCCGAGGTAAGGTAGTTTCACAATGAGCGATTTTCAGTCGTGAGGGATTTTTTGGCGATCGCTGTTGTATTAATTTTTGTCGGGAACAGTTTCCCAAATGTAGTTATACTGTAAATAAATATAGTTTTTAGGGTACCTTTCGTAAATGGTCTCTTAAGTTATATAGTGGGGAATTCTTGAGGATGAATTTCTGAACCCACTTGACATTTATCGGAAAGGGATTTCGGCCATTTTGGACGGCTGACGTATTGTTTCTGTCAGTGGTGTTGAGTCACGAGAGACGATTTTTGCGTCGAAGTAGAATTTTCTTAATATTTAGCCCCATCGGCTTACCCTAATTAAAGGGGATTTTAGATTCTACTTCATGGTTAATTGTGGGTATATGGACATTTCGTATTTTGAGAGGAATTTTAGTGTATTGGTAAATTCCTATGGTCATTGGTCCAGCCCATATCTATTATAGGATTTTAACGCAAGAATTGGACGTTCACAGCATTTGGAGTGTGGAATATTGTTGTGCTGTGGATCATCTCACGTGTTTCTCATCCTTGGAAGACTACCAAGTTAACCCTTTACGAAAAAGGTATGTTTTGTATATATTTGGTTATGTTACGCACCATGTGGCTGTAAATTTCTTTTATGTTATGGCATGGTGTAACAGAATTTTAATTATTTGAGCTCATAATACTGTTTATGACTCACTGTTGAGCCAATGTAATTTTTCTTCATCTTAGATGCTAAATATAGTTTCTAGTTTATGTACATTTTTGGGTAATCCTATAGTTCGGGATACTTGAGTCAATGTGTGTTGACATTTTCTTTGTAATATTTTAAGGGTTTTACCCAGGGCTTGTTAGCCCAAGATTCGTCGACAGTTCTCACCCAGGGGCTTGTTAGCCCAGGATTAGACGACAATTTTCACCCAGGGGGTTGTTAACCCAGGACACGACAACAATTTTCACCCAGGGGCTTGTTAGCCAAGATTCGTCGAAAGTTTCACCCAGAGGCTTGTTAGCCCAAGATTCGACAAAAGTTTCACACAAGGGGTTGTTGACCCAGGATTTCAACAGTTGTACACAGAGGGTTATATCGTCCGGAGTTCAACGGTTTCATCGAAGGAACACAGAACATTGGTATACTAGCCGCCTAGCTTACTTGTAGCTAGATTTACAATGATGATTCTCGTTCTGGATAGGAAGATGGGAATGCTGTGAAAGAAGACACCCTACTATCAGGTTTTTCTTATACGTTATATTGAAGGTTTCATGTGTGCATTGTTAAACTATACATTCACTTTCAACCGAATGTTGTCAAGGTATTCTCAACATTATTTATACTTTTGAGCACAGAATGTTCTAGGGTTTCTTTCACTCATAACTTAAGTATTATCAAATGTTACATCGTTTAATTGATTAATATTTTAAAGTTTTGCTTAATTTAAGCACTTAATGCTGATGTAGTAATCCTTCGGGTCGCAGAACACTTGGACTGCTTCCACGTTTAAGTTGTAATTCTTCAGTTATTAAGGGCTACTGCCATAATTTTACTTTATTCAATTTATTCATTATTAACTAGACCAGACTTAACGATTAAGTTAAGCAATCTCAGAAGACCCGTGTGGGGGCAGAGATTAAGTAACCTCTTCCAACCAGGGAGTTTAAGTAAATAACCTCTGTGTCTGAAGTCCTTTGTGTATCTTTCATTTATTATTATTATTTTTATTTAAATAAGTACTTAATGCTGGAGTAGTGATTCTTCTAGTTGCAGAACATCTGGGCTGCTTCTACGCTTAAGTTGTAAACCTTCAGTTATTAAGAGCTACAGTCAAATTTAACCTTCATTTTTATATTTTATTTATTCCTTTTATGATAAGACTTAACTGTAAGTTAAGCAATCTCAGAAGACCCGTGTGGGGGCAGAGATTAAGTAACCTCTTCCAACCTGGGAGTTTAAGTAAATAACCTCTGTGTCTAAAGTCCTTTATATGTTGTATTTTTATTTTCTTTTTTTGATATTTTTATTTAGTTTTATGAATTATACTTAATTATAAAATTTCATGGTTTAATAATTTTCTTTTGGGTAGTTTGGTCTTAACCAAAAGTTAAGCAGATATCACCTTCCAATTTGGAGAGGGTTATAAGCTTATAAGGATTATAAGTGTATTGTTTAGTTTATAATATACGATGTAGTATAGGTGCGGTTATGCACAATATTTAAGATAACTATTATTTTATATATAATTTTTTTTATGTAAGGTGGAAATTAATATTTTGCGCATGCGTCATGCCTGGTACCAAGCTAACGACGAACCGTGCCATATTTTGATTTAATAATTTATTTTGGGTTATGCATATACATATACAGTGTAAATTTTCCTTTTAATTTCCTCCAATTTTTTTGATCACCTAAGCCATTAGGTAATTAGACTGTATATTTAGTAAATATTTTTTTTCTTTATAAAGGAACATAAGTTGAGGTTTGTCTTTTATTTCTTTCCTCATTTACTGGGTTTTTGGGGAAATAGGATCATAGTTTGGCCACTTTATAGACCCAGTTGGCGTCTATTTATTTGTCTACTATTTCCGGAATTTTTGTAAGCTATCCACTCCCTAGCTGCCGTCTGAGCGACGTCGAAGGCCCGAAGGTTGACACCGGAACAACCGAAACTTGTGTAACCGTAGTAGACAACATTTTTAATTGTAGTTAATACTTTAATAATTTTTTTTTAAGTTTAAAAATTTTGGTGGAATCACCAAGTTCATTTCGTAGGTTACAAATAACTTAAGGGGGTTAATGGTAATAAGCTTCTTAAAACTAGCCTCCTCTATGAGGTAGGTGATATTTAATCTCAAAAACTCCCGGTGTACCAATAATTTTAAACCATCTACTTAATAAAACGACAAAAATATAATGAAAAATGTATTTTTTTAAAATAACTTTGTCATCCTGTATACGATGACTTAAATAACAAAAAAAATAGAGGTTTTTGACACTGGCCTAAGGAATCTATGGTTAACGGATTTGCCTACTTTGGTATACCCAGTATAAAGAAGTACTTAAGCCAGCATGGACTTACGGCACATAGCTCTGGGGTGTGCCAGTAAAAATACCATAAATCTAATACAACGTTTCCAGAACAAAATATGAAGGGAAACAGTAAAGACCTCTTGGTATGTAAGAAACTCAGACCTTCACAGAGATCTGAGAATGCCTACAGTCGAAAAAGAAAGGAATACTATGGCAAAAAAAACATGACCACATCAATATTAAAATTCTACAATTCCTGAACAACTGATACCTAATGAGAAGGCCGAGAAGGACCAAATCATTTTAATTAATAATTAATGATGTGAAATTATTTAAAAGCAGAGCACAGTGCGCGTGTGCAGCATATAGTTCATCAGATCAGAAAGGAGAAGATTCCATTGGGTGAACTCTTTAGTTTTAGGTTTCTTAAGTTTACTAAAGTTTATAATAAATACATATTGCTGGTTGGCTAAAATATAATAGGTGAAAGCAAAATAAAAAAAAAATAAATTAGTGAAAATTCTGTCAAACTAGTTGTCATTATATTCTTTAGTAAATAATAGTTCTATTTTGATTTCGTCTATGCATACAAATAAATTATAAATTGTAATAAAACTATATGATAATAATTTAATTACGAATATTGAAACTAAAATGTTTTGTGTACCGATGTAATTGATACTAGTAGATTTGGCTGTCATGCGAGAGGTCCCGGGTTCAAGTCTAGGATTAGAGAGAAATTATTTTTTTTTATTTTATATATTACTAAAAGTCATAAATTATTTTTAAAATCATATTTTATCTTAATAACTTTTTTAAATTTGTGTGTCGTAGAAAAAATATACTATATAAAATGAGTAGATTGACCGTATCGCACGTAGAGAAGCTTCGTCTTCGTACGATATGGCCATCATATCCAATATTGTTGCACAAATTACTATTTCTGTAAAAAGTATATTGTTTTCCAAATTTATGATATCAGGCGCACACAGTGAATATTTTTCAAAGCGTCTAATATCCAAATAGCACATGATTATAATAATATCTACAATTTAGTTTAATTTGATGTACAAAAAAAAAAATTAAGGACATAATTTCGATCATAAAGTATATTTGTGCTTATCAAACTATCAACTGAAGTATTTCATTTATCTATAAGTAGTATAAACGCGTAATGAATAATGATGTCATTATCTAAAGATTGTTTTTATTTTTAACAAGATTGCAACTTATATAAATGATCCAATATCAATGAAAATAACAGACCAAATTAAGTGTTCTAAAAAAAAGGTTAATAAAATTTCTCACACATTTTTGTTATTTTCAAAATGATGATTTACTTGTTACTCATCGCTGCAGTAGGAATTACAAGTTCACAAGGAACCTGTCCAGACCTAGAAGTGGTCCAAAATTTTAACGTTACTGCGGTAAGTTTAATTATTTTTATTAACCCAACCAAATCAGATTATAATTGTATTAAACAATAAGTTAAGTATAGACTTATTATACATAGGTATCCTCCTCAATATCAAACACCGACAAAACTGTTACAGTCAAAGTAGGCAACGCTCTGTCCGACTTATTTACCCCACTTGCTGGGGCACCACCTTGCTCCGTCTTGGTCCCCTTTCTATACCAAGTATACACTTACGATATTCTACCTAAAAATTAATAATCGTCCAAATGTCTTCTCTACGCCGATGATAGTGCTCTGCTCTCCGTAGCCAAAAATTCTGACCAATTAAGTACTCGGACCCAAAATCTATTAAACTAGTACTACCGCTGGTGTAGCAGATGGAGGGTCTCACTCAACCCACAAAACCAATTTATAATTTTTAAATATCCAAACTCTTTAAGGGCTACTCAGTTTCCCCAGAATGTTAATGTGAAGCTCCTGGGGATCAAACTCGCTAAACAGACTGAAGTTGACTATTTGGGAGTGCAATTGGCTCGTACTCACAACTGGTCCTCAGATATCAAACGCCTTCTCGACAAGATGCGTTGGAGCTTTATGTGGACGATTTGGACGATGCAACCCAAACACACTAATTCACACTTACAATTAATTTATCCGCTATGTCATGGAGTACAGAGCAGTACATTACGGCGTACTTCCTTTTCTTTCTCACAACAGAGAAGTTTTCGAAAACATCTCTTGCGCTCTCATACTTACACGTTTTAAACCCTCAGGAAACAATACGTCTCCAGCACTCTAAAAGGTTTACACATACATTCTCAAAATACACTGCACGTCCCTTGGCGCCTACGGCGCTTCCCGCTATTTCGTAAACCGAAAAGAAAACTCCCAGAACTTAACTTAAGATTACTCTTAGATTCTCAAGAACTCCCACTTACCCACCAAACTCCTGGATATGCCATGAACCATTTTTTAGTAATTTTATTCGTATGTTCAAATATAAAATTTATGTCCAGAGCCTGTCACTAGATTATTTTTTAAAATTTCTCGATATATTTCCGCCTTAATTGTGCCCTCTACCAACTCAGACCGACTTAGATCTACTACGGACATGTACCCCAAATCATAATGCATGTAGGATATCTAACTGTCTTTTCAAGGCAATATTTATGAAATATGATTTTGGACCAAACTATAACGATCTGTGACATCTTCGACGTTGCTCAATTAAAACGATTTATATTTGGCCACTCTAATAGTTTACTTTTTTTTGCTAAAAACATTACCAATAATAAAAATAATAAAATTTACAAAAACTTCTGAACTGACCTTATAAAAACTAAGTACTAATTTGTGTATCCACTTTTCAAGCACTGTTTCCAGTGTCTGTATTCCATTAAGATATGATGGATTTTAAAAATGTTACGACCATAGGTTACGACGACCCTGTTTACAAATTTTTTCTAGCAATCATCCATCCCTATCAAACACAATTCCGCGTCTACCCGAACTTTTGCCTCTAGGTGGACCCTTTTACTCTCACTATAGTGCCTAAGTGGGTCCCCAACTGTCGACTTAGTCAAATCTAATTCATCCGCAATTTCACGTATTTTTCCCTTACAATCGACGAATTTTTGCATTTGTCGCACTTCGTCTGACGATTTTTGACCAAATTTATCAAAATATTTGGCAAAGCCTTTTCTAATAAGTAATGTAAGATAAATAATAACGTAATAAGTAAATGTCAAAGTAATTTATCTTATACATGGTAATTACATAAATCCGAACATTTAGTTGTCACGGTATTGTGCAATATTTTTGTTTATTTATTCACCCACAAGGTTTGTTCGGGTTTCTTTTAAACTCAATGCAAACCGTCCGAGAACTAGTAGAACAGTTCAATTCCAAATTATTCGTCGCATACAACTATTAAACTGTTCACTGGTCAACTAGTCCTCTGATAGTTCTCAATGTATTTTTGAAGAACCCGAACAGGCCTACAGTGTATTTTAATGTGTATAAATACCAAACATTTAAATTTACATTACAAATGATAGACTTTAATATATTGTTAATTTAGTTCTTTAATTTAAAAAATCTGATGTGTCCAACACATGACTTTCCTATCTAGTTTTTATAGGCTTTTTCCGGTTATTTTGTACAACCTATTGCAGCATCTCTATAAATGTTTAGAGGATAAACTAAATATATACATTGTCCACATACATCTACCTGGAAACATTTTTCTATAGATATTCATTGAAAACGAAAATACTGAAAAATTTAAATTTAGCACTTTTCCATTACGGTCCATTTTAGAAAAATCATGTATAAACAAAAATTATAGAGATCGATATCGCAAACAACTTTTAGTTCAACAATTTTCATAAAAATCAGAATTTTGCACATTTTGTCAAATTTTTCGGATACGGACCATTTCAGGAAATTTTAACATAAAACAAAAACTATAGATAATAATATTAGAAGTAACTTTTATTTGAACAATTTTCTTCTCCAAACATAAATAACAGATATATTCCATAAAATATAAAAACGGCCTCCCATAAAGTACCCCCTAGATGTTTCGACTTTGTCCAAAATCTAATCATTTCACTTTAGGCCGAAATAAACCTTAAGTTTAAAATTTAATGTTTTTTTCTTTATCCGTTTTTGAGTTTTCTTCAAAATTCTAAATTTACACATTTTCTCAAATATCTCGAATACGGTCCATTTTAGAGAAATTATGTATAAAATAAAAATTTAGAGAATTATATTACAAACAACTTTTATTTAAACAATTTTTATTTTATTAAAAAATATTTTTTTTACATTTTGTCAAATTTCTCGAATACGGACCATTTTAGGAAAATTTTGTATGGTACAAACATTATAGATAATAATATTAGAAGTAACTTTTATTTGAATAATTTTCTTCTCTAAACATAAATAAAGGATATATTCCATAAAATATACAAACGGCCTCCCATAAAGTACCCCCCTAGAAGTTCCGACTTTGTCCAAAATCTAATCATTTTACGTCAGGCCGAAATAAACCTTAAGTTTAAAATTTAATGTTATTTTCTTTATCCGTTTTTGAGTTTTCTTCAAAATTCGAAATTTACACATTTTCTCAAATATCTCGAATACGGTCCATTTTAGAGAAATTATGTATAAAATAAAAATTATAGAGATTTATATTACAAACAACTTTTATTTGAACAATTTTTATAAAAATATATTTTTTTTTACATTTTGTCAAATTTCTCGAATACGGACCATTTTAGGAAAATTTTGTAGGGAACAAAAACTATAGATAATTATATTATAAGTAAGTTTTATTTAAAAAATTTTCTTCTACAAACGTAAATAACAGATATATTTCATAAAATATAAAAATGACCACCTATAAAGTACCCCTCCAGATGTTCCGACTCTGCCCAAAATCTAATCAGTTCATTAGACGCTGTAATAATGCTTAAGTTTAAAATTTGGTGTTTTTCTGTGTATCGGTTCATGAGTTATGCGTTATACAGACACACACACACACACACACACACACACACACACACACACACACACACACACACACACACACACACACACACACACACACACACACACACACACACACACACACACACACACACACACACACACACACACACACACACACACACACACACACACACACACACACACACACACACACACACACACACACACACACACACACACACACACACACACACACACACACACACACACACACACACACACACACACACACACACACACACACACACACACACACACACACACACACACACACACACACACACACACACACACACACACACACACACACACACACACACACACACACACACACACACACACACACACACACACACACACACACACACACACACACACACAAACACACACACACACACACACACACACACACACACACACACACACACACACACACACACACACACACACACACACACACACACACACACACACACACACACACACACACACACACACACACACACACACACACACACACACACACACACACACACACACACACACACACACACACACACACACACACACACACACACACACACACACACACACACACACACACACACACACACACACACACACACACACACACACACACACACACACACACACACACACACACACACACACACACACACACACACACACACACACACACACACACACACACACACACACACACACACACACACACACACACACACACACACACACACACACACACACACACACACACACACACACACACACACACACACACACACACACACACACACACACACACACACACACACACACACACACACACACACACACACACACACACACACACACACACACACACACACACACACACACACACACACACACACACACACACACACACACACACACACACACACACACACACACACACACACACACACACACACACACACACACACACACACACACACACACACACACACACACACACACACACACACACACACACACACACACACACACACACACACACACACACACACACACACACACACACACAGACAGACATCATCGCGAAAATAGTCAAATGGATTCAGGGAACCTCAAAACGTAAAAATCCGTCGAAAACTCGAGGTCGAAAAAAAACATGATTCCTATACTTTCCTGATATCTGTATACAGATAGGAAAGTAAAAATAGTTTGTGTAAATTAATGTTTTCAATAAAACAAAAAATTGTATGAACATTTAGTTGTTACGGCTCGTATAGCTCCCTTGATTTTCTCGAAACTTTTAGTTGTTTGTAGATAAGAAACGACATTTCTAGATAATTATAAAGTGTTCTCTCCTCTTCTCTTATTCGTACTTTTACTTATAACAACCTCAGAGTAAGTAAGTAGTAAAGAGGGGGCAGTAAACAATGTTTGTGT